GTGAAAAATTAAATATTTTTTTTTAAATCATGAAAGAAATGTGTTTATATTTAGTTTATCTGCTAGATGATCATGCAAAATATTGAATAAAATATTAGGATTTAGGACAAGTGTATACTGAATTATTAAACTAATGTGAATAAGAAAATATAACAGGAAAAAAGTAACAAGCCTGAAACTTGAAATAAATGTTTCAATGATTTTTTTTTTTTTTTTTATAAATATAAAGTCAGCCTCTTACATCTGGAGAAATAACCCTTATACAATAAGTAGCTGCAGAGAGATATGGATTTCGGCCATTAGGTGTCAGTTGCAGGATCGGTATGTTATGGACTTACTAAATTTTCTTGGTTTAGCTTCGAGTAAGCCCAGCAGAAAAGATACATATGGCAGTGAGCAGATATAAGTGCACAAGCAACATACATTAAGATTTATTTTATCATATGAGGGGTCATGTTTTTTTGATTAAAGTATAAAATTAAGATACTACTTGCAAATGCCCACCAGATGGTGCTATACTTATATATGCTGCTAATGTGTACAGTACTTGTACTACTAGTGGACATTTAGGCTCTTACTAGTAGCACTAGTTGCACTAGTTGTACTAGTTGCACTAGTAGCACTAGTACTACTAGTGAACATTTAGGCTCTTACTAGTAGCACTAGTAGTACTAGTAGCACTAGTAGTATGCATGCTGATGAAGCAGTCGGGACAAGGATTTTGATTGATCAATGTCAAACCAATGATTTTGCCAGCCTTAAAGGACCAGCTGAATAGTACCTTGAGATAAACTGTCGCTAATTTTTTAAGCTTTGTTTTTTTGTTTTACGTTATACTTTCACAAAATGGTAACACATTGAATGCCCTTTGGTAGAATTTTATGACCCATGCTCAAAACCAAATCTGATATTACATTTTTATGTATGTTACAGAGAAGTATTGATCTCTAGTCCAATCTTTGTTTTTTAAACTTTGTTTTATTTGTTATGAAAATCATTAATGATTATTAGTGATTGCAGTATTTGTGGGAAATTAAAGCAATGACATGTCACTGAAATATATGCAAATATTTATACTTTTTAAATGTTTTTTTTATTTTTTTTAACTATAGGATCAATTTATTTTGTGTCTTTCAAATGACAGCATGTTTCTATGTGAACTGGAAATAAACCAACCAGGTCATAACGTGATTTAAAAAAGCAAAATAAAAGTCAGACAATGTCTTCTTTTAAGCAACATATTATTATAATAAAAAATATTAATATTTTATTTAAAATACATTTATTTTCAATTATAGGCCTATTCTAATGGTTGGAATACATATATTCAACCATAATCCTTTTAAAATAATATTGTTTCCAAAATGTAATTATAATTGTTATCATAGCAGAATTGTAAGGAAAACTATTGTAATCATAATAATAAAAACAACTATATAATTATAACAGAATGTGTGAAATAAAATATTAAGTTTTCACTGTAATCGAACTAACATTTTCTTAAACCCAGACACAGCCTACAACTGAAGCGTTTTAATCTTTTTCAACAACATCTAAGACAGACACATAATTGCAAGTTCAGAAGTAGACTACAGCTGCAGTGGGATTCTTTGTGCTTTTTATGCTTTTTTTCACGGTCAAATATAACCAGAAGGTGGCGGCAGACATCAACTGCTAATCAAAGCTATCGGTGTCATGAGCCAGACTTCAGAAGAAGCTGCCACAGAAAGTGGTTTTAATAATGTAATTAATCGCGTGTGGAATGCGCTGGATGTTGCAAGACAAGAACTGGCAATGCAAAGGAGTGAAAGCAACATTTTGAGTGCCACCAGAAATGCTTTCCGGAGACAAAGAAGAGCAGGTCCGATGACAGGTAAGTAGCATGTGTAAGCCCTCTTAAATTAGCATTAGCACCAAATGGTAAAGTTCGGTTTGATTAGTTTATTTCAGTATGTCCGTTTTCAGTGTCAATGCTGAATTGCAAGGGGCTTTTAAACTAATCCTTTTTTTTCCCACTTCATAGTAAAGTCTAAGCAGAAGGCTTAGCTAGCTATGGCTGTCTTATGTGTAGCTAACAGAAACTATTGGAAAAATCCGGACCTAATTCTCAGTAGGAATGCGCGGCTTATGCGTCTGACAAACTGTGACACAGTCTAATTTATAAATCAAAAGCTAAGGGTTAAATTCTGCCTAAACTTCGCTGCAGAACAAATAGCCTCTCTGTGCTTTGTCGTTTTCAATGGTAACTGCACCGTTACTACAGTGTCTCTGATGACCCATTGACATTTTTCTGTGATCATGAAAACAGTTCCGCCTCTGGATAACCTATAACTATTTATTTGCAATAATGTAGCCTATGTTAATGTTACTTTGACATTACCATTATCTTTATAATCTGGGGTGTAGACCATACATATTAAAGTATCGCTCAACTTTCAACTTGAACTGGAAGGTGTACTCTGTGCACGCTGTTTTTCCTCTGTATGTAGACAGAATTGAGAACCATCAGTATGATGATGCATCCGAGACAGCGAGGAAGTGAGAGCAGGTTCGGATGGCTTAACTCCACAATCAGACATGAAACAAGAGAAAACTGCGTGAAGCAAAAGTCTTTATGCAGTATGCTTTGTGAATTGGACCTTAAGGGAGCAAAAAGCAGGCGCATATGATGCGCAATTCATAGAGCTATTTGAAACCACAATACATTCCTAGGGTCAATTTTCCTCTCGATATGTAATGATAAGCATAAGTATGGATTCTGACAATATTGAAAAAATAAATCTGGACATGATTTTCGTGCAGTATTGAGTGTAATGATGTTAAGAGAAGCCTCCAAAACTTTTCAATGCATGGATTGTATAAGTCGATCATCACTTTAAGGGGGGGCTGCCACTTTGATTTAGAGGGCTTCTCTGTAAAAATCTCAGTAATTTTAAATGAGATATTGCACAAATATATGTGCTGTACGAGCGTTAACAGCAGCGACTAAGGGAGAATTTAAGCTATGTTATGAACATTAAATATTAAAATGTTATGTCAATGACTGAGGACATGAGAATGAATATAATGAGTATATGATGTACATAATAAGGTGATCCTTGCAATAATATGTAACCATTATATATTTTTGATTTGAACACAAGCCCCTGCAAAAAGGACACCTGGAGTTTGGAGAATAAAGCTGTTCCTGCTACCAAATGCTGATGAAGTTGTCCTTCCATCTCATTCAGAATGCTGTAAACTAAGCCAAATAGGCTTAGGTAAGATACACGTATTAGTTTTGAAAGTGAGCATTCACTTGAGTTTTTATGGACACCACAAACACCACAGTTACATAATCCCATTCCAGTACCATTTGTCTGACATGTTTTGGAAGGTGGCCTTGCCCTTACTGTGCTATATAAAATGATTGAAAGATTTTAAGTTTGCACCATAAAAAAAAATAAAAAAAATCATATTGTGCATAAGGCACAAATAACCACATCATATGCTCACAACATAACAAATATAACAATATATGTTGTTAAAGGCTTATAAAGACACTGTAAGGCCTTAACTCTTAGTCGGTGGTTAGAAAGAAAAAATGAGTCAACATATCATACTCGCTGACATAAATTTGTATTGTTTTTCAGGAATCCCAAGAAATGATTTACCAAGTGGGGTCTCAAATAGAGGTTACGTAGAACTTTCTTGGACTCTTTCAGAGTTTGATAATTACATCTGCCAGAGCCTTCCCATGGTTAGCCTGAATGTCATTGGATATCATCTTGCAAGAGCTGATAAGACCAGGGTTCTGACTAAAATTCAGGCTAATACATTGAAAGACCTGAAGAAAACAGTTGGAAGAAGCAGGGTTTATATTATTCCCCAGACCACTATTACACTGCCGTTACAGGTGAGTTTTTTTGTTTTATTTGTTCTATTAGGGCAGCACTCCTTTTGAATTTTAGCATACTGATGAGAATTATCAAACATTTCTTTTCCATTTAGATCCCCGAACCTGAAGGGGCACATCTCCACCAACTGGACCTGAGACAGCTTCACAGTCTCTAGCTTCTTCAGCATCTACACAACTGATGACCACACCAACTGCTGCATCAACAGCCATCAGACCTGCAGCCTCAACCACTGCCCCTGCAGCCATTGATGTATTTCCATCCCAATCCCCTTCATCACTGGCCCTCAGACCTCAAGCCTGAGGGCCCCCCAGGTTACACCCCTGCTCCTACGGTTCCTATGAACACGCCAGCATTCACATCTAACAGTAATTCTCATATAGGTGCAGAGTCCCCTCCCCTTAATGCCATGTCACTCTCTTCAACTCTTGACATTGATGAAAGCTCACCAAGGACAGACTCGAACCCATCACTTGTAAGTTGCTGCAAAAAAAGAGTAAATTTTGTATCTAATTCTGATTATTCAGACTAAAGTAAACAGTAGGCTAATCTTAATGATTTCTAGCTGTATTAAAAGATAATCGTTATCATTTTTTAAACCTAACCTCAGTAAAATGCAGTTAGATATACATTGTAACTCTTTTCTATCAATGGGAGGCAAGTTTGGATCCTGCACAGTGGCTGAATGCTGGTACCCCAGAGGTAAACTTTTACATGACAAAAGTTATTTTTTCTTATTGTTTTCTATTTAATGTCTTCTATTAAATTTTTCAAATATATTGACTTTAACTGGAACATTCCACACAATATTTTTACTTTACAGGTCTTTTACAGAAGGGCACATGTGGAACCACCTAATAGGTATTTTTTATTTTAATAAAAACAGGAACCATGTGTGACACCTGGCTTTACATTAATTTACACTCATAATACCCAACTTTACATAGATTTTACTAATAATAATAACTGAATACACCAGATTATCCCCAAAACTGTACCAAAAGTGTTTGGGTTCAGAAGAGTTTGAAATTATTTTTTGAAATGCCTTAAAGTTATATTGACACTTACAAAGAAATCTGTCTGCCGTTGTAGCACTTCTATCAATGACTTTGTCATTGATGATTCAGAGGAAGGGGAAGAGGACAATATTATTGCAGTTCCTTTTGAAAGTGACATGCCTACGTCTGTAAGTTTTATTTTTTTCCTAACAAAAACCGAGAAGTGTAATTTTCAATAATTTTGAATAACTAGCCATTTCACGTACTCACAATAAAAATAATTGTATATTGCTGTTTTTAAAGATATTCTAAGATCATCAGTCCTATTTAGTGACCAACCTCTTTTGCCAGTCATTTTTATTGTATACTTTATACATTTATTATTCTTCAGGAGGAAGTGGAGCTTGCCATAATTCTGAGCGCTTTTCGAGAGGATCACCTTTCTGGGGGCGTCATATCCACTTGTTGTATCAGGAGGAAAAAGCTTCTGGAGAGTGCCATTAAAGTGATCTCCAGAGTCACTTTCTGTTGGACCGATTCACCACAGATTGAGTTTGTAGGAGAAGATGCAGATGATATGGGGGGACCACAGCGAGAGTTTTTCAGGTCTGTGTACCCTCAATATTTTCGAAATATTTTACTCAAAATGTGTTCATGTTTTCAAGTAATTGCATTGTTAGATCGTTTGATTTGTCTTTGCTGTTGCTCTACTCTAGACTCTTGATGATAGAGGTTCAGACCTCTCTTGGCATTTTCGAAGGAAAGGCTGGCCAGGTCTTTCTTAGTTACGACCAAGCAGCATTAGACCAAAATAAGTACTTCAAAGCTGGGAATCTTATCGCTTGGTCGATTGCACATGGAGGTCCATGCATCAAAGCCCTGGATACCAGCCTCTTCCAGCTGATGTGTGGCCAGGAGCCACAGCTTGAGCAGTTTGACTGGCAGTTGCTGCCTGACCCAGATGTGCAAAGCAAAGTCAAAAGGGTACTTAATATTTATTATGTTATTCATTTTGGGGATTTTAAACAAACCATTTTTTAACTGGTAGACAATATATCAATTTGTTCAATTCTTGATAAACACTTTTTAACACAAGTTAAGAACATTGCTCTATAAATAAAGATTACTATTAAATCTCAGATCATATTATTGCTTAATTTGAAACTCCAGCTAAATTGTTCTCACTCAGATTTTGCTATTTAGATCCTAGAGTGCAAGACTGCAGGGGACCTGACAGCACTCCAGAAAGACTTGGGGAACTGGATTAATGAGTGTGGTGTCCCATTCATATTCACAGCTACAATTGAAGACATACCAAAAATCTATGCTTACGTGGTGAAGCACTACATCTTTCTCAGGTAAAAATGTATATACAACTGAAATAGGCCTAAAAAAACAACAACTACAAAACACTACAAAAATCTATAATATCAACTTGAAAATTTTATGTAAATTTGGACAATGTTAAATTGTTTTTTTTTTAACAAATGTAAAAGTAAGTAAACCTTTAATCCATCTCCTACGAAAATTGACATTTCAACATTTAAATGTTTGGATTAACAGGACAAAAAGCTACCGTAAATCATCAATCTAGCAACACATTTATATAAAATATTGATGGTAGTGTCACAAATTACCAGGACAGAAAGAAATACTACCAGCTGTAGGTCAGACATATGTTTTTTGTAGTGTTGTACAGGTGTTTTACTGTAATGGGTTGCCTCTGTTCTTTCTGTCCTGGTCATGGCTGCTAAAACCAAAAAGCTACTGTAAAGATACATTTAAGAAATTGTCATTTCATACTTGAATAGTATTTTGAAACATTTTTATTTTTGATCCAGTTTTCAGTCCCTTCCCAAAAAATAAACGCATTTAAAAAAAATATCTGTGATTCTAAACTTCTGAATAGTTTTATTCATGTTCTGTCTCTGTTGGTTTATAGAACGGCCAGAACGGTACACCAGTTCACAGAGGGAATGAACGCTTTTGGGAAGCTGTGGGACCTGGTAAAGGAGAACTGGATTGCCTTCCTACCATTGTTCACCAACATGCAGGAGCCTTTGTCAAAGGCAGCATTCAAGGCCATCTTCACTTACAGTTACAGCAGTAGAGGAACCAACCGACGTGAGGAAGAGGAGGACACCATCTACTGCTGGGAGCTGGTTCTGAACATGATTGAAGGTACATTTTATTCCTTTAAGAACACTATAAAATTGAATTAACGCCTACAAAGTCCATTTAAAATGTATGTGACACAGGTCAAATAATGAAAGTGTAATTGTGGGATGTAATTTCAGTATAGAAAAATGTGGTCCAGAGAGTCATGTTTACAAACTATACATTTTTTAGCTGGGGTAGCTAAGTAGCTGGGGTGGAATATATACAGTCCTCATTTTTTCACGTTAGACAATTGATGTAGACATGAATGGTCATTTATTTTATTTATTTATTTTCCCTGGCAGACAAATTGACTGAACTCAGATTCGAAGACCTTCTGATATTCATCACTGGTGCAGATGAAGTCCCTGCCCTTGGGTTTCCAAATAAGCCCTGCATTGACTTCTTTGAACAGGAGTCAGGCCAGCGACGTTTGCCCTACGCTTCGACTTGCATGATGTGCTTGTTCCTTCCTAGAGGAATCACGCAGGAGGACGAATTACATCGGATGCTTTTTCAGGCCACTAAAGACTCTTTGGGATTTGGAAAGGTTTAGTCCTTACCAATTTAAACTCAGAGTAGCAGAATCCTGGCAGGATTAGCTGATACTTTCAGTCAGTTTGCACCATCTTCACTAAAAAAAACAATGTTAAAATATGGCTAGTCCCCCCTAACAAGTTCTAAAGTCTGTGTTCTTGTTTATGTAAAATCTACATTGGTGCTTGTAAAGCCTGCTACTTATGACCATTTTATTATTGACTAATGAGCCAATGATAAACTGTATTTGCATGACAGCCTTGTTTTTATGATGTAAAGCTCAGGATCAGAGGCTAAATGTTATCATTTCTTACTGCTTTGTTCTAGGTTGTTCATCGCATAAATTATGCTTGATCTCACAGAAACATGGCATTCATGGAAATATATGTTGTTTGACATATTGTTTTAATATTCAAATGTTTTGCCACTAAATTCCAGACATTAACAGATAAAGTTTATTATTATTTGCAGTCTTCAGCCGTCTTGTTTGTCTGTCCAATAGTCAAAATCTAAAATATTAATTTTACTTTTATGTGAGAATGATAGCATTGATTATCATTTTAAAATGCAAATATTATAGACTTTTCTTACAACTTTAAAAATATCCAATTCTGCAATACTTCAGATACATCTTCTGTCAGTTGGTTGAACTTCTAATTGACTAATTGTTAAAGATAATTTAATTCTCATCTTCATGATCACATGATAGTAAAATAAATATTTTTCAGTTTGAGGTTATGACAATAAAGCAGGTAAAACAAGTCAGATGAAGAGGTCCTCTTAGTCTGCTGCAACTTACAATGAGCCTTTTATATAGATTTCTGGCCTTTTCAAAGGTAGTCATTAGTATTACTTGTAAACAATTGTAAACACATTTAAGTTGGGCCCCTCCTCCTGGGCTCATCTCCATCCCCATTGGCTGGCGAAAACACATCAGCTCCCCACGCAGAAATGTCCCAAGTCAAGTAAAACGTCAAAATCCAGACAAAGGACAGGCTGTCTACAGACCAAGTCACCACCACACATTTACTGTATAGAGGCAATACGTAATGACTGAGTTGCATTGCTTCTGCACAAGTCTTTTTTTTTTTTGGATAAAGTTTCTGCCTTCATCATTTTATTGTCTTTTCAATACACTAATTAGCAAGTTCATTGTGTTCTGAGAATAATGTTTTGAAGCTCTCTTGCACACACAAGATACCTGTCCTTTAAGTGTGTTATTCCAGCAATTGCATTTTGAAGAGCCTGGTGTTGATCAGAGCTTATGTTGAGTGGTTGTTGCACAATCACTGCTTGTTCCAAGTCTTCTCTGTTTGCTTGTAACTGGGTTAGCTGTATGCCATGTCTTGCCAAGCAAGCCTCAAGATTTTCTTCAATGTAAGGGTCAACTCCAAAAACATTGTTAAGAGCTGTTGACTCCTGCTCAATGTTGGCCAGCATGCCCTCCATCTATATTTGTGTTGGTGTACGGTTATTAGCCGTTCTAATTTTATGGTTGTTCCATGCTTGTCTAAATAAATCTAGACGTTTTTGGATTTCGGGCTTGTAAACTACTTGTAGAGCCATTTTCTGAAAGTTATCTTCAGGGTTCAGGATTTGTTCATCTTCGAAAGAATAGAAAAGTGTGTAGAAGTAGTGCACAACCTGCTGAAAAACATCTCTCCAAAGACGTTCAATACGTTGGTTGTGTACAGACTGACCGGCAATGTGACCTGCATGTCCTTGTCCCTGTAGAAGGTTCATCAAAAGAGCAACCAGAGTGTTCTCCCCTCCGCGGTCCGATCTGACTCTGGAGGGTAACCCATAAAGACAGGTGGCTCGAACAAAATTAGTTAACACTGTCAAAGCTGTGTTGTCTGTACTGCAGTTGATGTAAGTTATTAATTGGAGTTCCCATCAATACCAGCATGCGTCACAAACCCCCACCTGTAAAACATATAAAATAAAAATGAACAATTGATTACTTCTTTACACATAAACCCTTACAGATCATTCTATCACATTTAAACCACAAAATTCATTAATTTTAATATTGTTGATCAAAAAGATTGAGATAGAAAAGAGAAAGAAGATGATAATGAAATGTAGATTAAGATGGATTGGGGAGAGGTCATACCATACTAAAAAAATCTAGGCGGTAACAAAGACAATGAAAACAAATCAACTAAACCCATCTAATATGACTCAATAATACTCCCAGCAATAAAGATGTGCAATTACCGAATGAGACGCATATGGCCATCTATGTGCCACAAACTATTTGGAAATGGCACATGGTACGTTCTCCTTGCCACAGTCTGACTCCATCTCTGGGCTGCAGCGGCTGGATCAATGCGGTTAAGGGTCTCTCGAACTCTTCTTCTTTGCACTACAATCCCTTCTGCACGCAGGTATGCCCGCATCATCTGAAATTAGTTCAAAATTGAAAGCTGTTACGATAAAGTTCATTTTTGTAAAAGGATACACAAGAATATGTTGCAGTATGCTTACTTCTGAGCCTGATCTTGGAAACTGGTTATGGAGTCTCCTGATGTGCTCCTCTAGGTGAATTTCGCTAATGGAAGTAAATCTCTTTCTTGCTGAAATCTGAAAAAATTTCATTTTCTTATGAAGGTAGGAAGAGGAACAGCCGAGCATCCTTGCCATGGCTCTGACTGTGAAACCTTGAGTAAGGAGCAGCTGAATTTGCTCCCTTGTAATGTCAAGCGCAGGTCTCCCTCGTCTCCCTAAAAATATTTAAATAAAATAATTCAGTAATATAGCAATCCAAATATTCCGGTGATTTCATGCAGCACAGTAATAAAAAAGAAAACAGTTTTTTTGCCATACCACTTTTTTCGTGCATATTTTCAGTATGCCAAATTAGTTGTCTTCCTAAACATACAGTATGTATGCCCAAAATTAGTCATTTAAGTTATTGGACCAATGGACCAATGGGTAGCTCACTGAAATCAGAGTATGTGTTGAAACTGGATGGCTGGGAAGAAGACCTACATATATTTTCATGTTACAAAGCCTAATTGCAGTTACAAAAAATGACCAAATAATGACTGGTGCAAAGTAGTTTCATTATTTCTGAAGTAACACAGTCAATTCTAAGTCTTTATAGTAACCCATCACACTGTTTCAATTTGGTTACCAAATGCGTCCCTGAATTAGTCTTGAATATCAAATCTGATAAGTAATATCAAACACGACAAAACCGACAAAAAACACAATAATTTACCAAACTTACCAGAATGCATACGGCCTGCTTGGAAACCAGCAACTGTAGCTGCAGGTGCAGGGATTACAGATTTGAGATCTGTGAGACTTTGGATTAAATTCCTCAAAGTGTCGACGCTAATGGCATCCTCAACTCTTCTTAAATTAGCGATTGAAATATTGAGAGTGTGAACTTCTCTTGGACCTGCAGATCCTTGATGAAAGGCTCTTTCAATAGCTATACATCTCCTTCTAATGAGCCTAAGGACAGTGTCAGCCATGTCTGCGTTTAAAACTGTAGCATTTGGGAAATTTTCTTAACCAATAAACAAGCAACCACATTGACCAAAAGCTTAACCAATCAAATAGGCAGCTTCTTTGTATTCCCCTCCCCCATACCCATCCAATTTCATGGAAGCTGTGCGACTAGGGCGACTAGTGCTACTAGTGCGACTAGTGCTACTAGTGCGACTTGTGCGACTAGTGCTACTAGTGCGACTAGTGCTACTAGTGCGACTAGTGCGACTAGTGCTACTAGTCGCACTAGTAAAGGCCTAAATGTCAACTAGTAGTACTAGTACTGTAGACAGTATATGTACATATAGCACCATCTGTGGGGCATTTGCAAATCGTACAATTTTTAACCTTTACTGTACATGATAAAATTAAATTTTTAGGGCTCATTTATACGATGGAGTAGAGCCATCTTAAAGAAAAAAAGAGAAAATATTAATCTTGTATATGTACGAGAATAAACATGTAAATTTAGGAGAATAAAAAAATGATGAAAGGAGAACCCCTAAAGCATTTTCCTCTGCCACAAAAGAGACAGTTTCATCCAAGTCAGTGTGGTTCTTTCTTTGGAAAATTACAGTTGCTTCCAGTATCTTTTCAGGGTCCTGATATTTTATGACAATGTGATGATGATGTGCTGATAAAACAACTTATCGGATATATTTGTCAAACTGTTTTTACAGACTACACAAGGAAGGAGCCTATTTCCTTATTTGTCAAACCTTTACTATAACAAGATGCTCCACGTTTATCATTTTCGAACAGGCGGCTCCTGCTCTTCTGATATAGACTTAAACAAGAAATTAATCTCGTACATTTTACTTTATTGTCCTAAATTAACTATTTTAATCTCTAAATTTTAGGGTTTTTTTTCCTTTTACGTGGCCCTAATCTTGAATCCCTTTATTTTTCTTAGTTTACCGACTTTAGGCCAAATTAAAACGTATTAAGTACAAGAACATAAATTATGTATCAAGTTCCAGTTGTTTTAAAGTCCATAATTTTATCTGATTAAATGTTTTACCTTTTTAAGAACAGCATGAATTTATATGAAATATTTACACATTCATTTTTAACTTACAATTGCACCTTGGGCTGTTTTTTATCACTCTACTGACCTTAAGACGTACTCTTTCTTATGTTTTCTGTAAATACTGTCTTGATGGGATAAAAAAGGAAAAAGAAAATCATGAGAACAGTTCTAAAATGATCTTCTATCTTATTTTAAGTTTCAAAAAACAATTCTAACATTTAATATATGTATAATTTTCATGTTTTACTCTCCATGGAAAGTAGGGAAGAAGCCGTTGGTTCACAGCACTTGCTCCTTCTTACAAAGGGTTAAATTTGTGGAAGGTGGAGGTCTATATGGAGAACCAATGATAAGGTTCAGAGAATGCCCTGACCCCACCCACTCATTAGCATGTAGTTCAACCAGTGTTTCTAGTATGCATTTTGGCTTTCACTAGTAGTACTAGTTAACATTTAAAACCGTAGTAGTTAACTAGTTATGCCAAAAAGAGTACTACTAGTGTAACTAGTGACATTTTGGCTCTTACTAGATAACTAGTTAACAATTTTGAGCCTCACTAGTTCACTAGTAGGACTAAAATGTCCTGAACTAGTGTTACTAGTTGGCTTTTTGCACTAACTAGTTAACTAGTGAACTTTAAGAGCCTCACTAGTAAACAAGTAAAATTTGTAACTGCATCACTAGTGATACTAGTGGACATTTGGGTCTTACTAGTTAACTAGTAAACATTTTGAACCTCACTAGTTTACAAGTAAGGTTAAAGAAGAGTCAAACTAGCTTACTAGTTGACATTGTTGCTCTTACTAGTTAACTAGTAAACATTTTTAGGCTCACTAGTTAACTAGTAGACACACAATGTTTTGTACTAGTTAACTAGTAGATATTTTGCACCTTACTAGTTAACATGTAGGACTTTTTGCCTTCTACTAGTTTACAAGTAAGTCTTTCAACGTTCTACTAGTAAACTAGTGCGGCCAAAGACTTGACTAGTACAGGAAACTGAGCTTTGATATCAAGGATATCTATTAAATCTTCAATCGGCTTTCCATACTTGACTAGTACAGGAAACTAAGCTTTGATATCAAGGATATCTATTAAATCTTCAATCGGCTTTCCATATATGCCTTTCTATCTTACGAGTGGACATTTTGGCTCTTACTAGTTAACTAGTAAACATGTTTAGGCGCACTAGTTAACTAGTAGACACACAAT